GGGTAATAGTTGCCTCTGGGCTGTGTGAGGGGTCATAGTTGCCACTGAACCATGTCAATGGTCGTAATTGCCACTGAACTGTGTCAGGGGTCATAGTTGCTACTGAGCTGTGTCAGGGGCCATAGTTGCCATTGGGCTGTGTCAGAGGTCATAGTTGCCACTGAGCTGTGTCAGGGACCATAGTTGCCATTGGGCTGTGTCAAAGGTCATAGTTGCCACTGAACTGTGTCAGGGGTCATAGTTTCCACTGAACTGTGTCAGAGGTCATAGTTGCCACTGGGCTGTGTCAGAGATCATAGGTGCCACTGGGCTGTGTCAGAGGTCATAGTTGCCATTGAACTGCGTCAGGGGTCATAGTTGTCACTGAGCTGTGTCAGTGGTCATCGTTGCCACTGGGCTGTGTCAGGGGTCATAGTTGCCACTCGGCTGTGTCAGAGGTCGTACTTGCCACTGAACTCTGTCTGTGGTCATAGTTGCCACTGAAATGTGTCAAGGGTCATAGGTGCCACTGAACTGTGTCAGGGGCCATAGCTGCCATGGGCTGTGTCAGAGGTCATAGTTGCCGCTGGGCTGTGTCAGCGGTCATAGTTGCCACTGGGCTGTGTCAGGGGTCATAGTTGGCACTGGGCTGTGTCAGAGGTCATAGTTGCCACTGAACCATGTCAGTGGTCATAGTTGCCACTCGATTGTGTCAGGGTTCATAGGTGCCACTGAGCTGTGTCAGGGGCCATAGTTGCCCCTGGGCTGTGTCAGAGGTCATAGTTGCCACTGAGCTGTGTCAAGGGTCATAGTTGCCACTGGGCTGTGTCAGGGGGTCATATTTGCCACTGAACTGTGTCAGTGGTCATAGGTGCCACTGAACTGTGTCAGTGGCCAAAGTTGTCACTGGGCTGTGTGAGGGGGTCATAGTTGCCACTGAGCTGTGTCAGGGGCCAAAGTTGTCACTGGGCTGTGTCAGAGGTCATAGTTGCCGCTGGGCTGTGTCAGCGGTCATAGTTGCCATTGGGCTGTGCCAGGGGTCATAGTTGGCACTGGGCTGTGTCAGAGGTCATAGTTGCCACTGAACCATGTCAGTGGTCATAGTTGAAACTCGATTGTGTCAGGGGTCATAGGTGCCACTGAGCTGTGTCAGGGCCCATAGTTGCCCCTGGGCTGTGTCAGAGGTCATAGTTGGCACTGAGCTGTGTCAAGGGTCATAGTTGCCACTGGGCTGTGTCAGGGGGTCATAGTTTCCACTGAACTGTGTCAGTTGTCATAGGTGCCACTGAACTCTGTCAGGGGCCAAAGTTGTCACTGGGCTGTGTCAGGGGTCATAGTTGCCACTGAACTGTGTCAGTGGTCATATTTGCCACTGAGCTCTGTCAGGGGTCATAGTTGCCACTGGTCTGTGTCATTGTCATAGTTGCCACTGAACTGTGTCAGTGGTTATATTTGCCACTGAACTCGGTCAGGGGTGATAGTTGCCACTAGGCTGTGTCAGAGGTCATAGTTGCCACTGAACTGTGTCAGGGGTCATAGTTACCACTGAACTGTGTCAGACGTCATAGTTGCCGCTGTTCTGTGTCAGAGGTCATAGTTGCCACTGGGCTGCGAGAGGGTTCATAGTTGTCATTGAGCTGTGTAAGGGGTCATAGTTGCCACTGGGCTGTGTCAGGGGTCATAGTTGCCACTGAGCTGTGTCAGGGGTTATAGTTGCCACTGGGCTGTGTCAGAGGTCGTACTTGCCACTGAACTGTATCAGTGGTTATAGTTGCCACTGAACTGTCAGGGGTCATAGGTGCCACTGAGCTGTGTCTGGGGACATAGTTGCCACTGGGCTGTGTCAGGGGTCATTGTTGCCACTGAACTGTGTCAGGGATCATAGTTGCCACTGAACTGTGTCAGAGGTCATAGTTGCCACTGGGCTCTGTCAGGGGTCATAGTTGCCACTGGGCTGCGTCAGGGGTCATAGTTGCCACTGAGCTGTGTCAGGGGTCATAGTTGCCACTGGGCTGTGTGAGAGGTCATAGTTGCCACTGAGCTGTGTCAGGGGTCATAGTTGCCACTGGGCTGTGTCAGAGGTCGTGCTTGCCACTGAACTGTGTCAGTGGTCATAATTGCCACCGAACTGTGTCAGGGGTCATAGGTGCCACTGAGCTGTGTCAGGGGACATAGTTGCCACTGGGCTGTGTCAGGGGACATAGTTGCCACTGGGCTGTGTCAGTGACATAGTTGCCACTGAACTGTGTCAGGGGTCATAGCTGCCACTGGGCTGTGTCAGAGGTCATATTTGCCACTGAACTGTGTCAGGGTTCATAGTTGCCACTGGGCTGTGTTAGAGGTCATAGTTGCCACTGGACTGTGTCAGGGGTCATAGGTGCCACTGAGCTGTGTCAGGGGCCAAAGTTGTCACTGAGCTGTGTCAGGGGTCATAGTTGCCACTGGACTGTGTCAGGGGTCATAGCTGCCACTGAACTGTGTCAGGGGTCATAGTTGGCACTTGGCTGTGTCAGAGGTCATAGTTGCCGCTGAACTCTATCAGGGCTCATAGTTGCCACTGAGCTGTGCCAGAGGTCATAGTTGCCAATGGGCTGTGTCAGAGGTCATAGTTGCTACTGAACTGTGCCAGGGGTCATAGTTGCCACTGGGCTGTGTCAGAGGTCATAGTTGCCACTGGGCTGCGAGAGGGTTCATAGTTGTCATTGAGCTGTGTAAGGGGTCATAGTTGCCACTGGGCTGTGTCAGGTCATAGTTGCCACTGAGCTCTGTCAGGGGTTATGGTTGCCACTGGGCTGTGTCAGAGGTCGTACTTGCCACTGAACTGTATCAGTGGTTATAGTTGCCACTGAACTGTGTCAGGGGTCATAGGTGCCACTGAGCTGTGTCTGGGGACATAGTTGCCACTGGGCTGTGTCAGGGGTCATTGTTGCCACTGAACTGTGTCAGGGATCATAGTTGCCACTGAACTGTGTCAGAGGTCATAGTTGCCACTGGGCTCTGTCAGGGGTCATAGTTGCCACTGGGCTGCGTCAGGGGTCATAGTTGCCACTGCGCTGTGTCAGGGGTCATAGTCGCCACTGAACTGTGTCAGGAGTCATAGTTGCCACCAGGCTGTGTTAGAGGTCATAGTTGCCACTGTGCTGTAACACAGCTGGTTGCAATAATTAACACATCCTCCTGATGTATCACAGCACGTGCAGGTGATACTAGGTGAGGCTCCGTCTTCTACCTGTGTTTGGGCGCTGGCCCGCCCTTAACCTTTGCAATCTTCTAATATCTAACACTACTCCTAACATCTAGCACTGATGTTGTTAGGCTGGTGTTGGGTGAAATAGACCTTTCCTGGTTCATTGTAGTGGGAGTCGTTGATGTTACTACGTCACTGAAGCCAAGTTATGGTTGAAGTTATCGTGTTGGAAGTTATCGTGTTGGAAGTTATCGTGTTGGAAGTTATCGTGTTGGAAGTTATCGTGTTGGACGTCTTTATTTTGTCACTTTGACTTTTTTTGGGTTATCTTGGTGAATAATTTACATATCTGCTGCTGTGCATGATATTTTATGTAACCTTATTAACGTGTACTTGTACCTGAATCAACTTACACTTGTTTCGTCAATTTGGCCACCATCACGACCATCACTTGTCCACAAGTTCGACTTGTGAAGAATATCTGTGGAAAATGTCCACAGTGTGGAGAAGCACAAGCGATATCTCACTTAACAGAGATAACAGTGGATAACATTTCAGCCTTGTATCTTTGCTTCAGTTCTCCTAAATGACTGCTTGACCACGAATAAGCGACATGGAGAATGCAATGGAATACGATGTTATGCTACTCACTCGCTAATGTGTACATAATTATTCTCCATAGGCAGAGTTTCTGGTGCTCGTGCACATAGGAGAGTTACATATTTGTGGTATTTCTTCCACAGTTCTTCCTGGAGATTGCCAGTGCACTGCTTGAGTTTCATAAAGTACACATGGATTTGGCCACTAATATTTCTACGTTCCAACATGACAAGGCCTCGCCGGCAACACTCGGTCACTCGCTACATTGCCACTAGTCGATTTCATTTGTCACAATAGCACTCTAGCTCTTAGAGCACCCAGCACCTTTATTATAGTCAATTCATGCTGACATATCTAAGGACGTAGGTGCTAGCTCTAACTATTTAACTGGATCAAAGAGTGTGGGTATCTTGAGTCCAAGGTGTGGGTTATTAAGTATATTGTCACTAGCTATATTACAAGAGTAGATGAATATTACTATGAACTTTTACCAGCCTTAGGAAATTGTATCTTCCTCAGAGAAATGTGTGAATATATTATACTCCAGATTCTCCATAAGAGCAGAGTCTTGGCTGCTCACTTGCTATCTTGTGCCTATTGTATCTACTCTTGATTTAGATCCAGCTTAGTGGGAACCTGCATATGCATAGTGAGGAACGTGTGGTAAGATATGTGAATGTTCTAATGTGGCTTCATGTTGCTTTGTTGCAACACATAACATCTTGCTACATCTCTGGTAATGGAAAGAAGAAGCCTTGACCCCCTTATATCCCACACCTGCACCACAAGTGTGGGAACATAGAGAGGGGGCTTAGCCCCCTTAATGGAGAAATTTCTCCACAATTATTTTTACCAACAAAAATAATGTTTATATAAACTCTCAAAAACTTTTTAATTCATAAAAAAAAGACGTGAAAGTCAGTATTTATACATTTTGTCACCGAGGTAAATTTGTCAAAGTTAAAAACGCCCTAAAGAGGTCAGTTTCTCATTATTTATCACTGCTTGGTAACAATTCTAATTTCAGTTATCCACAAAAGAGCATGATTACCTAAAATTCAAAACAAATTTTGCACCACCAGTCGTGAAAGTTTGAAATCGATCTGATGAAGCACTCTCCATTTATCACACATTAACGACATCAAAAATAGTTGAATAACAATAACAAATTGACACTTAGCACCTTGCACCTGGCACCTGGCACCTGGCACCTAACCTCTATGTCTTTCCCCAGGTGAATGTGGCAGTGGACCTCAGGGGCAACACCCTGCCCTTCAACATACCCAGATTGGGCACCAAAGCAGCACTGGTGCCACTCTCACTCCCACTAAGCTGGGATGGTGCCATACCCAGGCTCTGGGAGGTCAGAGCCAGGGTCAGCCAAATGAAGGTCAGCTTTTATATATATATATATATATATATATATAATATATAATATAATAAAATTTTAATAAATTTGTATGGAAGAGGGTAAGGTACCTAGGGATTGGCAGAGAGCATGCATATTTCCCTTTTGTATAAAGGCAAAGGGGAATAAAAGAGAGTACAAAAATTATGGGGGGATAAGTCTGCTGAGTATACCTTTGGTAAAGTGTATGGTAGAGTTATTTTGAAAGAATTAAGTAAGACGGAGAATAGGATAGCAGATGAACAAGGAGGCTTTAGGAAAGGTAGGGGTGTGTGGACCAGGTGTTTACAGTGAAACATATAAGTGAACAGTATTTAGATAAGGCTAAAGAGGTCTTTGTGGCATTTATGGATTTGGAAAAGGCGTATGACAGGGTGGATAGGGGGGCAATGTGGCAGATGATTGCAGGTGTATGGTATAGGAGGTAGGTTACTAAAAGCAGTGAAGAGTTTTAACGAGGATAGTGAGGCTCAAGTTAGAGTATGTAGGAAGAGGGAAATTATTTTCCATAAAAGTAGGCCTTAGACAAGGATGTGTGATGTCACCGTGGTTGTTTAATATATTTATAGATGGGGTTGTAAGAGAAGTAAATGCGAGGTTCTTGGCAAGAGGCTAAATTAAAAGATAAAGAATCACACATAAAGTGGGAGTTGTCACAGTTGCTCTTTGCTGATGACACTGTGCTCTTGGGAGATTCTGAAGAGAAGTTGCAGAGGCGGGGGATGAATTTGGTGGGGTATGCAAAAGAAAAAAAATTAAAAGTGAATACGGGGAAAGAAAAGGGTTATGGGGTAACAAAAAGTTTAGATGATAAAGTTTGGGATAC